CAAGATTAACCTTCAGGGTGGATATAGCTCGCTAGCAGCCTTGCATCAATGACCTATCCACGTCATCATTTACCCAGAATGCTTTGCGTGTAAATAAAACGGCCCTGTCCGTGTAATATATTATTAAACCTTTAGTTTAAAAATGATAAAAACTAAACAGCCTACAGTATTTGTACAGTCTTTATTTTACAGTTAAAATAAATGTTTATGAAATAAAGTCTAATGTTACAACTAATCGGGATCCCTTTAATGTTAGCTTATAGCTACTGTTTAGCTCAGTTTAGGTTTTAGGTGCTGCATCAAAAATTTTAACTAACTAAGATTTTAACTTTAGCAAGGGTTTTGCTTATCTTAGGTTTTAACTGTTTGTTTAGCTAATTTTAGCCATGTTCAGATTCTTTTGGCCTTTTTTTTAGCTAATTTTAGCAGTCAGCATTCACACCGCAGTTTTGCAGAACTTTCATTTTGTGCCAAACAATAAAAAAACAACAGAAGAATCTTTCGATTAGATGTAACGGTTTATTCTGAACATTTAGACCTACATGCACATTTATTACTGTTTTACTTCCTGTTTCAGTAATTAATTATCAGAAAAATGTTACATATGAAACATTTGAGTTGCTCTATAGTTTTTCTGCAGCATCATGTTGGAGTAAAAAATGATTTGCATCAACTTAGTTTTTGATTCTCTTCTCAATATTTTGCTGTTGTAATGTGTTTATAAAAAGTAAAATTGACTGTATGTTATTTTTGTTCTTGTATCATTTAAATATGGTGTGTTTATTGATTTTTAAAACCCCTTTATTTGTGTATATTTTCCTTTATTCGTTGTGCTGAATGTGTGGTTAAAAGGATATTCGTACAAAATTAGTATGGTTGATAAAACCCTGAATTTGTTTTTTCTTATAACTTTTTAACTTGGGTGGAAATAATCTTGCATCATAATTTTAAATTTAAATGGTTACTTCTATTATTATATCCCAAAAAATAAAAAGTGCTCAGGTTTTTATTCTAATGAATCTTTTTAGGTTTGGAAACTTTTAGCCAGTTGGTGTATGAGGATGATTATGGAGCTGTAAGTAAAGGACAACTCACTCAGTTTTACATTCTGTTATTACACATCATTTTGAGCCACGTTGAATTAAATTTTAGTTTTTCATCCTTTTTTTAGAAAAGCATCAACTCATCATTTATCAGCGACTTTCCACGATTTTCACATCGAGGCGTCTTACTGGACTCCTCACGACATTTCCTGCCTCTTAAAGTCATCTTGGCCAATTTGGTAAATATGAATAAATTTTATGGTTTTACTTTGTATTTTCCACTGTTATAAAAGGCAGTAAAGTAATTATCTACATGTACAACTGAGTCCAATTAAATCAAGATGACCACCACACCTACAGTGACTGATCTTAAACACAAAAATGGTTTTAACTCCAACACTTTTACAGTTGTGTGTATATTTATTGCTAAACACAGAAAATCACAAATAATAATATAACACAAGAAATAACAGGACAGACTTAATGAAAAAGACACATAATGTTAATCTGTTAAATTATTTGATTATTAGTTGTAGACAATTTTAAATGAGTGAGTTTTGATAAGATTATGACCTAATCTGAGTCGTTCCATCTTCTTCGCATTTAATAAACAGGAAGTAACTTATGTTACTGCAAAGTAGTTTAACAAATATGCTAGTTGTATTTATACACTGTTATATTATAGTTACTGTCATGGTGAAGAAATATATAAACAAACTCTAATATAGTTAAATATGTAATGAGGAATAACCACTTAAACTAAACTAACCATATTAAAATCTGAACAAAATGTGTAAATAGAATCGGAAAAATATGACGAAAAAGTTAACTTCAGAGTATTCTCTCATTTTAATGACTGCAGTCAGATTAGGGAAAGGTTTTGAATTATATAATAAAAAGCTGCAACGTTAGAAATAATAATCATAGTAAAATAATTTTAACTAAATGAATAAATGATGATGATGAATAGATCTAATATGACCAAATAAGATATGTAATACATATTTGTTAAAGTTTCCCGGTAAGATGTGACCTATAGAAATGATTTTTCTCTTTATACATTTTATTGTACACATTTTTAACTCAAGTCTTAGCTACAGCACTTTAAAGGGATCCCCAACTAGTTGTAACATAAGACTTTATTTGATAAAAAATATAGTTTAACTGTAAAACAAAGACTAAAAAATACTGTAGACCAGTGGTTCCCAAAGTTGGGGTCGGGACCCCTTTGTGGGTCACGAAACATAAAGTGAGGGTC